GTCAACACAGAGGAAACATTTCCTCCATGCTTCCAAGCGAAGCCAGCCATGGTCAAACAGGGCCTTTGATTTATCTTCACATAGAAAGAACTGGTAAAAGAAAGGAGCCAGGGGCTCCTCCTAAGCACATGATATCCATGAGGAACAGATCCTCAAATGACCTTAAGAGTAAACATAAATTATTTTATTATGGCCAATTGTAGGATCTTAAAGACTGAACAGGAAATTATAACCAAAGAGTAATGGGGGTCAATATAATTTTTAAGAATCCGTATATATAGCTAATGGCTACATAACAAGAAACAATGCCAGACAGGAGATACCTTCCTTTGAGTTATTAGCCAGGGTGACCCAAAAGACTTCCAGACAGTAACCCAGCATAGAACTGAGAAAATGAACAGCAGACTCCAACCTTACCTAAAGGAATATTGACAATTAATTGCTGCTAGATGACAAACAGCTGATCTTCCTAAAACAAGGATCTCTAGATAGGCTGACCAGATTCAGCAGATTGACAAGCACTCTGGAATAGCTGGGGGCACTGAAACACAGGGGGCTGTAACAGGGATGACAGAGTATATGGGCTCCAGTTTGTGGGAGGGGGCAGGTGCCATTTGGGAAGTGGGTATATAGATGAATAAGATTGTGTGGGAAGTTCTGTATGATATACATACATTTAAAAAAATTTAAAAAAGACATGTTTGAGAAGGAAGCATAAAAATTGACTTCATGTTAATTAGCAGAGGAGATAAACATTACAATTGAAATCAACCTGATGGCTTTATATCCATATTCTGGTGCCAAGGATCCAAGTGTAACTGACTGTGACTAGTAATAATCAGATACATAGAGATTAGAGATGTATGTACAAACATCTAAGTCTTAGCATTAAAAATGAGTTTTTCTGTATGAAACAGTATATTTTGAAAATAAATGCAGATCTATTTTAAAGATTAAAACCTCATTCAATTTCTACATCTTATAGTGGTTATATTGACTTCAATATTGTATAACCATATTAATTCAACTGTGAACGTAAAAATTTACAGCCACTTTTTTAATTTTTTTATTTTTTCTCTGGAGTGTGTTACTGAATGTGTTAAAGCTGTAATGAACTGCTTCTTCTAATCATGTTGTTATTTAAAAAAAAATTTAAAGAAATTTTTAAAAAGAAAATGTCTAA